CACCTGCCCCCTGCACCTGCCCCCACCTACCCTCGCCTGCCCGTGCCTGCCCATGCCTGCCCCCACCTGCCTGCACCTCCCCGCGCCTGCCCACATCTGCCCGCATCTGCCCGCCCAAGGAAACACTCCCAGGCCATGGGTTTCTACCTGCGCAGGTGCTGAGCCTGAACACCCACCAGGACGAGGACGGTAAGCGGTCATCCCTGGGCCCTGACAGGGAAGATCTCTGGGTCATGCGGCCGCACAAGGCGACCGTGTTTCCAACGAGCTGAGCAGCCCCATCCGCTTGCACCAAGACACCCACATATCCAGGCCCATGCACACCCGTGAGAGTGAATGCACCCCCCCCCCCAGTGGAGGCGGCAGGGCTGGTCTACCTGGAGGCCTCCTGTGCTCACAGGACGGGTTGTTCAAACACAGTCATGTTGATGGCACATGGACAATTAAGGACAATGTTTTTAAAAGAACAAGCGTGATCTAAGTTTTTAAGTTTTAGAGGCGCAACTGGTCTCTTTTCGGGCATCTCAAGGAAGACCGAGCCATCCTGCGGGCACGCGGTTGGCCCCAATGTGTGGCGTCAGGGCCACGAGGCCCGGGCTCCACTGTCCATGCTCAGGAGGCCGCTCACGCAATGGGCTTGCGGTCTGGCTTCGCCGCTGGGCCATCGTCACCAGGTCCTCCCGGACGCGGACGCCACCCGCGATGGCGCTGTCCCGTGTCAGAAGACTGGTAGGCAGTGGCCCCCGGTGCCCGTGGCTAGCTCCATCCCCTGCCTTCCATTCACCACGACGGGTACTGTCCTCGTGGAACGAGCTTCCTCTGAATCCCGCGCCAGCGCACGGGGCCGCCTGCCCTTCTCTCCGTCGTGCAAAGGCCGGGGCCAGGGGCCAGCCCCCAGCCTCCCAGCGCCACGCCTTCCGCCGGGCACCTGCCCCCGACTCAGGGTTTGGAACCTTCCTTGGTCCACCGCGCACATCTCAGGAGGGAGCCAACCCGGCCTGCTTCAACCATTCTCCGTAAATTACTGCCCTGGGCTCAGGGATGTCAATCCTGGATAGCGGGTTTCCTGGGAACAAGCACAGCTGCGTGCGGGTGTCTAAGTGTTGAGAGGGCTCCCCAGGTGTAATGACGCGTGATCGCTCCACACTCCGACCTCCGTAAGACACACACGCCCCCCTCCGCTCTCCGACCGCCTCTCGGCCACCGCCCGCTCTGCTTTACCAGCTCTCCCTCAACCTTCTTCAGTTCTAGTCTTACTTTCTTCACCTCTCTCGGCACAGAGCTTCCTGGTCATTTAGGAAATACAACCTGTTTATCCAGGTGAGGGCAACGGTGTGACTCGAAACCCTTACGCGTTTCATTTCAATCATCGTCTAGGCTCTGCGCTGTCTAGGATGATAGGCACTAGCCACGTGTGGCTACTTTATTGAAATTTAAGTTAATTTAAAGAAAATTAGATCGGAAGTTCAGTTCCTCCTTTTCACCAACCACATCCAAGTGCTCCAGAGCCAAATGTAGCTCGGCGCTGGCGTCTGCAGTGCTGGACACCGGATATACATTTTTATCGTTGCGGTAAGTTCTACTGAGCAACCAGTGCCCGGGCATCTCAACTCTCATAGTACCCAGACCCCTGCGATAATTCGACACTTGAAAATGAGAAAAAAAAAACGGAATCTTGGGAAAGGAGAAAAGGCATGAATTAACAATAAGGAATAAAAGCAAAAAGACAATTTCACTGTGTGTAGAAATAAGTAAACAAATTTCCCCCAAGTAAATACGCTTTCGACAAATCTTTGAATTTTCCATTCAACAGTCCAATAATAATAATGTCTTCCTACACGTTTACAACCCCTGGCTGGATTATACCACTTCTTCACTCAGGAGCAATCTTCTCTAGATTTTCAGAACTTTTTTTTTTTTTTTTTTAAACAGAACGCTTATGAAGCCATCAGTCTGCTCCTTCTCATTTAGGTATAAACAAGCTTGAAAAGCTTGAGCAAATGGGGATGTGGGAATGTTTCCATGCACTCGAAGGCCCTCTGAACAGGGGGAGCCAATCTTACATCCTCCAACGGTGACAAGGGAGCCGCCTCCCCACTTGCTAAGCGTCTATTCACCTGTCAGCCTGCTTGGCCGTCCCTTCCCCTTGGACTCTGCCTGGAACCACCCCCACCTTGCATCAACACCCCGGCACTCACGTCTCCCTGCTTGTCCAGCTACCACCCCCTGCACATCCTTCTAGAACTGTGCACATCCCACCGTCTTCCCATCACCTACTGACGTGCCTGCCCCCCTGCGTGCCCGGGAGCTGCTTGGGGGCAAGCCAGTGACCGACCCTGATTCGTGTCCCCGGCACCTCGCCCCGTGTCCAACACAAAGAAACTTCTCAATAAGTATTTATTGAACTGAGCTGAGCAAACTGGACCCAAAGCTATAACGTGCTTTCCACCCTAACTCAGACCCTAAGTCCTGCAGGGAGGGGTATCTGAGGTATAATCAATGCCGTCTACTTCGTTACCGTCTACATTTAATTTAACAGACATTGGAATTAATCTGAAATGTCAGCAGGAGCGATTACTGGCTAGGATCCATTGGCTATGGATGGTCCACGTGTATTCGCTAACTTGACTAAAGTAGTTTCCCAACTTCTTGAGAAAAAAAAAAAAGAGAGAGAGAGAGAGATTTTCTCTGGGCCCAAACAGGCTAGTTAATGTGATTACCAAGTGAAAGGAACAATGTTGTCCAATCTGAATTCTTTGACATTTTTCAAAAACACAAATAAACCCTTAGGTGATGAGATGTGGATTTAATGAGTCAAAATGTAATGAAAGGTATTGTCAATATTTAAAACTTCAGTAAAAATTCACCCTCCAAAGTGCAAGCCAGGAAAATATCAACTGGTTCTTGTTCCCAAGAAACGTAACTTTATAAAATGGGCGGATACCCAGATTTCAAAAGGGGGAGCCCAAGTGGGTCATGTTCTGCCAAAAAATCATTAGCTCGTATATGCATGTACTTTTAAAACCAGAATGTAATGATCTTGATTAAAAGACTGGCATTCGCAGTCAAAATTTAAGACACGGTGACTCAGCACTAAACGCAAGCTGTGAAAACCAGGAAAGTGATTTCCTAATCAGGACGTGGGTCTGCGGGTATGTCCTCTTTCGTGCGTACGATATCAAAAGTCACCGGGGCCCTTTCCCTCCAGCGTGGCCTGGGAGCCTGATGGTTCCTTTGTGTTTTTTTCTTTCTTTTTTTTTTTTGATTTATTTTAATTTATTTTATTTTTCCTTTGTGTTTTCCTCTCTCCTTTTCGTAGCAACAGCATATATCACATTTCATATGACATTTATGTTGGAAGACCAAATACGTATATGATCTATCTCTGAACTGATTGAGGAATTAATTTGTAGGACAATTTTGCGACTCTCCTTTATTTGGAGCAATACCCCGGAGAGTATATTTGTCTAGAGACTTAGCATTTTCAAATGCTTACAAGTGCATTACCACATTTAATGCAAACTGTTCGTATACATGATTAGCTCAATTATTCAGGCAACATCTGCTCAGTTTACATATTATTCATGACATTTCCCACCTCCCCCCCTTTCTTTTTTCCTTCCTGGCCTGAAATGTGATCATTTTCCTTCCTATTAGTCTTGTACGAGTGGCAAGGGAGGAAGGAAAGGAGAGGAAATTCAGGCTAATCCTATTTTAAAATTTATAGAGTTCTTTTAGGAAAAGAAGTCACTGAGAATATTTAAAACTTCTGGTTAAATTAAGGCTCTGGTGAGTAGAGGCATTAATTTAAATGATTCAAACTATTTTAACATTTGCGACTTATCCAAATTTATAACTTCCAATTAATAACGTAATTGTTTATGATCATGATTTCCTTTATTTAGGCCTCTGTGCTAGCTCTCCGCCTTCATGGGCGAGAAAACAGGACACAGAGAAACCGCGCGGCCCTGCCCCGGGGAGGCCAGGACTGGGAGCGGCACGGGTCCTGTCGCGCCGCTCCCCGAAAGTAGTGGTTCCCAAGCTTGGGCGGGTGGCAGCATGGCAGTGGGCTTGGGAGGCGCAGACGCCGGGGGCCCCTAACCTGAATCTCCTACCTGGGCGGATGGGTGGGGCCCGAGAATGAGCATTGCTTAAAAAGCAGCAGCGGGACCGCACTTTGGGAACCGCTGCTGTAAAGCAGGGCTGCCTCCCTGCAACCTCCACGCCCCGCAAAGACACCTGCACCCCGAGAGGACAGCGAGCGCCCCTCTGTGTCCCTGGCCCTGCCACCAAGCAGCCACCACCTGGGGCCGGGTCAGCACCTCACACGCCACGTGGCGCTGCGTGGATCGGCTTCCGGTACCTCCTGGGACGGGGAACAGCAGGTCGGCCAAGAGAAGCGTGTAAGCAACCTTTTTGGTAGGATCTGTTTAAAATGTTTGATCCTTTTCCTCTTCTAAGCCACTGAAGTTATTAAGCAAAAAAAAGGAGCTCAAGACAGAGAGGAAAGCTGACCCCTGGTCCCCACCGCTCAGAGAGCACTTCATGCCCCCAAGGAACCGAGGCGCCCGGCCAAGAGGTGAGGCCTGCAGGTGCCCCTCCGTCCTCTCCCCAGATGCCCGGAGCACCCAGCGTCCCTCGATGCTTCCTTCCCGGGCTTGCGGGAGGGGGGCTGATTGGCTCTCACGCCGTAGAAACAAATGACTCTCCTTATCTCGCTCCCCCCACCCCACCCCCGTCCTTCCTTCCACTCCTCCCTCCTTTAAATCACTTTAAATGGGCGTCGTCATCCCGTTAATTTTGTCGGACTCCTCGGGAAGAGAGATATTACGCTTTTGGAGGGAGGCGGGCAGATTGTGACACCCCAACAGTCAGGTAACTGGAGAACCAAGGTCACGTGAACCACGACATGCTATGTCAGATCCCCCCGGTGGCGGTGGCGACACGGCAGCTGCAAGAAATGCGTTACTGACAGTTAATGTTTAACGTCATGGTCTTACCTATGCACACTAGATCCATAAAACCATACATTCCATAGCAGATTTGAAAAAGGATGTCCTTCCTCTGCCACACTGCATAGGGGCTGAACGCTGACCAGAGGAGCCAGGTCACACTCGCTATTAAGAACAGGGATCCTAGGATTACAGCAATCATCTGAACTTTCTCAACCAGTGTTATAGAAATGCTTTGCCACTAAAAGAAAAACAGAGGCATGTGAGAAAAAGGTGCTGTGTTTAATTTAAAAAGAAAAGAACATTTTCAGCCCCATGTTTCTCTTCATAACATTAGACCCTTTTCAATCTGATCAGCCCCCAAATGAATTTTTTTTTTCCATTTCATCCAGGCTATAAAAAATAGACAAGCAGATAAAGATTAATGAATTGCCTTAGCTTCATTATTTTCAGTAATTCACCGTTCTGCAAATTTAATCTAGTTTTATTCCAGATAACAGGGCTGAGAGTGAACGGCTGAAGAATATTTAGTGCCCGGGATCACATTATTATCTTTCACGCATGCACAAAATGAAATACACTCTGAAGATACGTGTGGAAGACTCCTTTATTCGGAAACTTATTTTGCTCTTCAACACATTTGGCAACTGCAAAAAGGGGAACTGTCTCTCATTTTTGCAAAATAAAAAATGCAAGAAACAAATATATAAGTTACATAGAACCGTTAAGGCAGCACACTAGAATTATAAGGGAACTAGAAGATCGTACATTACCCGTCATTGGCACATTTCATATACTCAGATATTACTGAATTTTAATTATCTGAAGGGTAATCTGTAAAGCCATTTTGTCGAGATTTAGAATTTGAAAACAAACGGAGTATCTTTCAAATTCACAAATGAGTAAGTAGCACACTATTCAAAGGGGAGAATAATTTGGTGTCCTAAGTATCAGTGTTTGGGAGGATTTTACAGTACAGATGATCAAAAGTCTTTCAAGGGTGTTATCAACTTGAAAGAATTAATTAGTCATGTTCTCCCTTTTGCATAATTGAGACAGAAAGAAAACTAGAATTGCTATTATGGTTTGTCAGTAAACAATGAAACTCAAAACAACCTGCACAATTTCATTCTGTGTGAAAGAGCTCTGGCTGGTGCAACATATGGCTTGTCAGAAGAATTCCTAAACAGTTTAAATGAGCTTTAAACACAAATGAGCTTGAACAACCAGTATCCGTTGGGCGAATTGGACATTTCCTTAAACTCTTTACTTACCTGAGGTCTGAACGTGTGCATCCCAAATGGCAAGTCTATCGCTACCCATAACCTCCCTCTCTCCCTCACTGCTTCTGTCTCTCACCATAGATAATTTGCACATTGTATTTAAATGTGCGCCTTACCTGGCATATTCATGGGTGTTATTAAATTCTACATTTGTTAAAGATTAAATACAAAAATGGACTTGAAATATTTAATTCTCTGAAGTCATTTATTTTTCCTTTAAAAATTTCAGAACCAGAACAGACTGGGTGGCTCAGTTGGTTGGGCATCTGCCTTCAGCTCGGGTCCTGATCTCAGGATCCCGGGATCGAGCCCGGCATCAGGCGCCCTGCTCAGTGGGGAGTCTGCTTTTCCCTCTCTCTCTCCCTCCCTCTCCCCGCTTTCCCATCACTCATGTTCCCTCTCTCTTTCATAAAATAAAATAAAATGAAATGAAATAAAATATAAAATAAAGTAAAATAAATATAAATAAAATAAAATATAAATAAATAAATATAAAATAAAGTAAAATAAAATATAAAATAAAATAAAAATAAAATAAATAAAATAAAATATAAATAAAATAAAATAAAATAAAATAAAATAAAATAAAATAAAATAAAAATTTCAGAGCCAAATGAGAGTTTGGTGGCATTCTACAACAAGGGTTTAATATGCAGATTCCCTTACTGAAAAATGGGTTTTACCTTTACAATTCTGGATGAGTAATAATTAAATTTCTTGACATTATTTTATCATTTCAACTGAATCAATTCATTTCAAGCATGTATTTGAAGTTATTTTTCTTCTACTAATTTCCTGTCATAATTTTAAACACGCTGATTTCAAACTGCCGGGCATTTGGATTTAAAGCCATTTTAAATTTGGTGTCATCGAACAAGTATGAAGTGTCACTGTTTGTTGGCTTTGTTTAGTGTCAGGGCTCACTAAAATTTGCATTGAAATTCAACAACATGGTAAGCAACGCAGAAAACTACTGCCAACTAGCACTCATTCCAGAGGGATCCTATCATGTCTGTATGCATTACAATACTCTTTATCAATTTATTAATCACATCAGATACATGAGAACAAAGCCTACTTTTAAATCCATGAGGCAAAGGTACACAGTCGTGTGTGTGTGTGTGTGTGTGTTGTGAGTGTGAGAGAGAGATTTTCACACGGTGAGCTTTATGTTCCAAAATACGTAAGTCTGAATCACAGGAGTCTTGGCTAAGCAGTGGTGAGTAAGGAGGATTTATCAAGAATGGTATTGGGCACCTGACTGGCTCAATTGCTTAGACATCTGCCTTTGGCTCAGCTCATGATCTCGGGGTCCTGGGATTGAGCCCCACATCTCACTCTTTGCTCAGCAGGGAATCTGTTTCTTTCTGGCTCTCTCTCAAGTAAATAAATAAAAATCTTAAAAAAAAAAGAAAGAAAGAAAGAAAGAAAGAAAGAAAGAAAGAAAGAGAGGAGAGAATGGTTTTACGGAGATCTACTTTCCTTTTCCGGAAATCCTTTATGTTCCAGGTTCATACTGTAATTTCAGTGGAGTTAACTTTGGACAGCTCAATATTGTACAATTAATTATCTTTAGCTTCAATTAAGCTTACTAATTAATGGATCCAATACTGCCTGTATGACAATTTAGAAAAACCTGGTAGCCACAGGCCTATGTGGTGAGGTCCTACTAACCGCTTAGAGTTTGGTGAGCTGCTCGGGACGGAGGGATGAGGCTGAGGTGTCTCCTGGGACACGGGAAAGTGTGGGTGGTTTACACCTGAGAGTCAGCATGACGGCAGGCCACACTGGGCCTGGAAACTTCTGATGCATGAGGCTTAGCTGTTCCTCGGCCGGGAAGGAGAATGAGCCAAGGAACAGACTTACCGGGAATAAGAAACATTGTGTTTCACACTTGTTTGATGACACCAAATTTAAAACGGCTTAAAATTCAAATACCTGTCAGGTTGGAATTAATGTGTTTTAAAGTTATGTCCAGAAAGCTAGGGGATAAAAAAGAGAACAATTCTCAATTTCAGTTCACCGAGATGCTTATTTATTATTACCATAGAAATTGTTGTTTTTTTTTTTTTTGTGGTAGAGACAGGAAATAATTTGAGATTTCTGAAGCTTATTTCTCAAGAAGGATAAACCGCTCGATCTGTAATAAGCTCCCTGAAATTTTTGGTTTTATATCACTCCGGTAATAATGCAAATATGCCAGCGTGTCTGAAAGTGCATCGATGCTCTTCATACACTGATGAGCCTTAAAATTAGCACCACTTCACTGCATAGCTAATGAGGGCAAATCATTATTGAGACCAAAATCATTAAACCGATTATGAACACAGGGATTTTCCCTTTGAACGCTGATACCATCTTGGTAATTTCTTTGCCCATTATATAATGCTCTTTCTTACTGTTACCACCATGTGCAAAGAGTGGGATTGTTCACATTCTTCCCCTAGGAAAAATAATGCTGCTTTCCACCACTAAGAAACACCCACCTGGCGTCTTTGCCCTGGAAGCCACGCATGATCTAAGGGGCTCAGCCTCAAGAAGCTGTGTTAATGGACCATTAGCGTAGACAATAAAAATAGAAAATGAGTCTCTCGGGGCTTCTCTCTCTATCCCAATGGTATCCAAGGCCTGGATTTCAGTCTGTAAGATATTCCTGAATCTTCAACAGAATTTGTCAACTGTGGAATGTATTTTTCACTCCTAAAACTTACTACATATGGATGTATGTATATATGTATGTGTGCCTGTATCTGTGTGCGTATGTAGTTATTTAAATTTCTTTCCAAGTTTAGAAAGGTAAGCACTGTACCAACAGGCAGATTGACTCTAAATAATTGCTATTATTTCTTTCTTTCCATAACATTTGAATGCATTTGACTTTTATATTCCTGAAAAGACGTTCACTTCTACGCAAACTATTGGACGTATTGTTGTTTCTAGCAAAAGTGGGACCTAGTGGTTCCTCTTCTGAAAGTTCATCCTCATTTGGTGTATAGAAGCAGTTGAATAATCAGTCTATATTTATATATGGCCAATATGTCCCAGGCACTTTTCTAAGAGGTTATGCATACTAATTCATTTAATCCCACAACAACTCTGTGAGGAAGGTACTATTATAATCTCCATTTTAAAGATAAGTAACCTGAGGCAGAGAGAGGACAAACAAGCCAGGCAGTCTGGCTCCTAGGTTCATGCTTTTACATTATAGGGCTGATCCTTGAACAACACAGGGGCTAGGGGTGCCAACCCCCGCCACAGCCAAAAATCCATATATACCTTCTGAGTCCCCCCAAAACTTTACTAATAGCCCACTCTTGACCAGAAGCCTTAGCAATGACAGGGGTGCCTGGATGTCTCAGTCATTGAGCGTGTGGCTCTTGATTTTTGCTCAGGTCGTGATCTCAGGGTCGTGAGATCCAGGATCCACACTCAACAAGGATTCTGCCTGGCGAGTCTTGCCCTCTGCCCCTGCCCCCCTTCACCATGTGCGTCTGCATAGTCTCTTAAATAAATAAATAAATAAATAAATAAATAAATAAATAAATCTTTAAAAATAAAAAAGAGACCTTAGCGATGACATAAACAGTTGACTAACTCCTATTTTGTAAGTTATATGTATTATATGTTCCACTCTTACCATAAAATAAGCTAGAGGGGGAAAAGGCTAAGAAAATCATAAGGAAGAGAAAATACATTGGCAATATTAAACTGGATTTATCCACAAACATCCACATATAAGTGACCTCACGCAGTTCAAACCTGTGCCGTCCAAGGGTCAACGGTACTATATAATAGTTCTACTGAGCTCTGATGACAATTAACTACATACACCCCATCTTTGCGGTGACACCACAGTTTTCCTGGTAAACAGCTTCAAGGCTGTCTTCTCTGGTCTCTTGAAACAGCTATCCAGCTGGACTGCTAGCCACGAGTCATTTCCTGATCCCCCATGGCACCC